CTGAATTGCCTCTTGTTACTGTGAAATAGTTTGGTACGAAGCAGGAAATGTTGATGGGCCAATGACAACACCACATTAAAATGGTCCATAGTTTTTAATACAAGTATGACAGATTTATAAGCTTTAAAAATATAAATCGTGGTTGAGATATGTTGAAGTAAATGGAAAGAAACAGTTGTTAAATACATCTGGCATTTGACAAATGTTTATTGTTTATTATGCAATAAAAACCAACGTGTAAGGAGATATTTAATTATTAATTGTAAATTAAATGTTTTTTTTTTTAACAAAAGCACACTCGGACTCAACTTTATTATCCCGTTTAGGGAAATTAAAATTGCAGCAAGGTGCCGTAACACAGACGAAGTTCCATGTACACATTAACAAAATATTACCACACAACATACATTTCATCAGTTTTAGATGCATCTCCCTTCCCCCCCTGATGGCCACCATTATGAAAGGACAAACCTTAAATGATCTTAGTTTTCTCAGAAAAAAAGTGTTGGTTGAACTTTTTTATAGAAATAATGTCCAAGTTGAAGCTTTGATATTATTGCATGACCGACTGACAATATGATTTGGATTTTGTTAGTTGTGAATATCACACTTATTTAGATCAAATTTACCATATAAAAATCAGAAACTGCACCAAATCGCAAACTTCTAGAATGAAATGGAGGTGTTTATGAGCATAAACTCAATGTTCTATACTAAACCATAAAAGTCTGAGCTTGACCTGAAGAAAAAAACCCTACGCATATTTTGCTTATGTTGTCATGCATTTCTTTTTAGGTTTTTTTCCTGAAGGTTCAGTAAACATATTTTTAAAAAAGGTCAAGGTTAAAAGGTCGGGTCAGGGTTAAATCTTGCACATACCATAGCAGTGGGTGCCTAATCGCCAGACCTTTTGAAGACAGATATGCCATTTCTTTTGAGAGAGAGAGACGGTTCTGGAGTAAACCAAACCATGGTTGCGTCCAGAAACTTTAAACAAACACTCTACTTTTCTTGAAAATAGGCTTATTTTAAAAGTCCTCTATAGTTATACAGTTGAGTTTTTGTTTTGTTTTTTAGCAATTTTTTAATATTCATCTGATTTCCCAGTGTGGCATGAGCACTTTTAGCTTAGCTTAGCATAAATCATTGAATTGGATTAGACCATTAGCATCTCACTTGAAAGACTAGTAAAACATCATTTTTTTCTGTTTTAGTAAATAGTTCTAAATTGTATTGGCATTTTTATCAAATATTCCCTGAAAAATCTTCTCTTCTTTTCCAAACATATTAATCATTTTTGAACACTTTTACATATAGTGGTCAAGTGGCGTTAAAAAATTGGCAAAAATGTATTAAATCAGAAAACAGTGCTTTTAAAGTGCAGTAGAATGCCACTATATTAGAGTTTTGAACAAATAAATGTAGCAAAAACATTTGTGAAAATCTGACAGACAAGGGATATGAATTCTTGTGTATAAGATCCTTTTAGATGTCATTGTGTAAAAAGGAATGTGTTCTCTTTTTCTTTTCATTAAACAATTGTATTTGTATTCATTAAAGGTGATATATTAACTAGACTTCTTCCGTTTAGTGTGATATGCCCTGCATACTAATGAAGCATTTTTGCAGAAGTAGCTGAAGCTGATGGAAATCCAAAGGTCTGATTGTCTAAAATTAACTTGAGATTTGCTGCGAAACTTCCTGTCGGCAGAAATGTGTTGAAACTAAACGCAGAATATGTGCAGTTGAGAAGTCTTATGCTTTTAATGTTGCGCAGAGAATTAGTAGAAAAAGAGGACGCATGTATGGGTGCGGCCAACGATGTAGGGGTGAGGACTGGAGAATGATTGACAAGTGACGAATTTCACTGAACTCCGCCTGTTAATATCAGCTGCAAGTGAAAGTCAGGAAATGAATACTGTTGCGCACCTCCTGAATGTAACTCTTGCATTGCATTGAGGATAACAGAACTTTGTGAATTGAATTATTCATTTGTATCCAATAAATGATTAATATTTTTGGCATTGAAGAAAACCCTCTTCTGACCTTTTTCTGTGGAACAAACATGGAATTGATTAGATATATATTATATGTATCTTTATATATATATTATAGATTATTGTCTGTGATTATCATGGTGAGCTGCATATAGAAATGCATGCAGAAAACTGGCTGTCAGTGTGGATCTCGTTGGACGCACTTTGCTTCAGGGTGGAGGGAAAACCCTGCACATATTTCCACTGGCGTCTTAAGGAGGTGCTCTCAGCTCAGATGGAATTGGTCAGTATGCTGAAGAACCGATAGGGGATTGGCTGTTCAGACAGAAAGGGGTGTGTTCACTGCTGGCGGTCAGGCTTTATGTAAGCAATCCCTGAAATCATGTGAGTTTCTTGGCACGTCTTCTGTACTTCACACTGAAAGAGCATTCTGAATGTGACCGTGTGAGGCTCAGGCACAAAATGCCAGTATAATGTGTGAGGTATTTGCAGTCATTAGGGACATCAAGTTGAAATGCAGTCAGTCTAATTTATTGTATAATACATCGGCCGTGGTTACCAGAGCTTTACTGGCGAAAAAATATAATTAAAATTGGATATATCGTTTTAGGTTTTTAAATAGATTAACAAAGGCAGCATGGTGGTCCAGTGGTTAGCACTGTCTCCTCACAACAAGAAGGTCGCTGATTCGAGTCCCGGCTGGGCCAATTGGCATTTCTGTGTGGAGTTTGCATGTTCTCCTTGTGTCCACAGACATGCAGTTAATTGGATGAATCTATGAATGTGTATGACAGTGTACGTGTGTGCACTGCAAAAATGCTTTTCTTACTTAGATTTTTTGTTTTGTTTCTAGTCTAAATATCTAAAAGTTCTTAAATCAAGAAGCAATTTCTAGACAAGCAAAACACACTGTCTTGTTTTAAGAAATAATATGCCAAAATGAAATGAGTTTTTCCTTAAATCAAGCTAAATAATCTGCCAATGGGGTAAGCAAAATATAAAAGCAGATTATTTTAGCTTGTTTTAAGGAAAAACACTTCATTTTGGCATATTTTTTCTTAAAACAAGACAATATGTTTTGCTTGTCTAGAAAATGCTTCTTGATTTAAAAATTTGTAGATATTTGGACTAGAAACGAGAAAAAATCTAAGTAAGAAAAGCATTTTTTGCCGTGTGGGTTGCGGCTGGAAAGGCATTCACTGCGTAAAACATAGTTGGCGGTTCAGTGCACTGTGATAAATAAGCAGCCCTGATAAATAAGGGACCAAGCCAAAGGAAAATGAATTAAATTCACAGTAAAAATTGCTAACTGGTAGAATGTTAATATACTAATATTTTCTAGTGGTTTTTTTTATTTATATTTTTGTACTACCATGTAGGTGCTGAGAGGAACCTAAAACTCTAATGTAAAACTTAATGCAAAGAAAAAATCATAATAAATATAATATATCCTATTTTTCTTTCACTGTAAACTATAAAAGTGCTTGGGTTTTTTCACTTTTCAAAACATTTTACAATTTTTTACAGTAAAATGATGAAATCTATTACAGTTATCATGAACAAGTAAGGACACTTATGCCTTATAAGCAAGTTTTTACTGCAGCATTTTTACACATGACAATAAAATAAATGAGCATTTTGCATTGTGATGTTACAGTGCTCAGCATATTTGAGTACACTCCATTTTGAAAATGTTTGTATCCATTTTTCAGTGAATTTAGGCAATGTAATTTGGTGCGTTTAAACAAAATCAACTTATTAAACAGATATATTTATTAAAATAACATTTTAGTCACCAAAAATATTTAGAAACTGAAGGAAAATACAATTAAATTCAAGCAAAATATTGAAACAAACTACAAAAATTCTACTAAGTTTTTCTCTTTTTTGCTTATCTTGATTTGTCCTCTTTTTTTATCTGTTTTTTTCTATAACGTAGAGATTATTGTGTACTCATTTTTGGACAGTTGTCATAAGTTCTTTTGTTAGACAAGCTCCAGATTTGGCTTCAGTACTGACTAATCTAATGTATATATACAAACATAATATTGCATAGCTTCCTATTAAAACATGAATTTAAAAAGTAAACAGAGGTCAGAGCCAGCTATAAAAGTGAGTGGGCCTTCAAGCTCCAAGTGCGCTATACAAACCTGGAGTTATTATTTATTTCATGTCTTGTACATGACATGGAGTCCAATATTGTGCTTCATGAATGTCTACACCTCTACCTAAACCCACCCTCACAGTAATCTGATGTGTTTTATTAGTATCTGCTCCACCATCTAAACCCAACCTGCTTGCGGTGTCATCCCTCCCACTTGGAGGTCTCCGAGCTGCAGCGATACCTGCTTGGGTGTGGCGGCATGTTTTGTGATTATGGGTTCTATTTCAGTGACGTCACCACAATCAAAGTTGGAACACACCTTATACAGGAACAGGAGGTTTAGGAACACAAAAAACATTCTGTCCTCGAGTGTTGCATCATTTCGACTGTAAATTGAGATTGGACAAGAACATTTACTTCACGGAAACAATCGTGCTTCCCAATTTAAATGACCCTTGCAGCTTTATTGTAATTCATTCATCTGGAGTGGCCAAAGCAGAATGAACCGCCAACTTACCCAGCATATGTTTTACACAGCGGATGCTCTTCCAGCTGCAACCCAGTACTGGGAAACACCCACATTCACAAAAATACACTACGGTCAGTTTGGTTTATTCAGCTCACCTGTACCTTGTCTTTGGACTGTGGGGTAAACCCATGCCAACACAGGGAGAACATGCAAACTCCACACAAAAATTCCAACTAACCCAGCAGGAACTCAAACCAGCGACCTTCTTGCTGTGAGGCAACAGTGCTAACTACTGAGCTACTGTGTCGCCCCTTGCTTTATTATATCATTTATATATATTTTTTTAAAGAATTGAACTTTGGATGACTGTAAACCTGTGAGATTCTGACTTCTTATAAACACAGTTTAAACAAACACACAGAGAATTAAAAAAATATATCATTTTTATTACAACTCTGGAAAAAGTGCATTCAATAATAATTTAGAGGTGAATTTTTTTTTCTCCCTTTGGTCAACCGTGTGAACAGAACAATCATAAATATGAAAAAGCATCCTTCCACAACACTTTCTACTGCAATCATCTTCATCTTTCACTCCACAGATATATAATTTATTCACACACACACACACTCGCACATCTCAATAAATTATATATTATATGGTTTTGAAATAAATAGGCTTTCCAAACGTGTCCAGCCAAGATCTATGCTGGCATGCGCAGTCCAAAATCCAACAAACTGGATTAAATAAGAGTGTGTGTTCTTCTCCAGAACTGATGCATTGTAAAGTGTGATCTGTTTGTTCTCAGATCGCTCTTCTGAGTGATGCCTGCTGTCGATGGACGCCAGTGCCGTACAGTTTCTTTGCTCGCGTCTCAAAAGCGTTGACCATCTGTTTGACCACCTCGTCGAAAAACATTGTAGCCAGTTGCGAGTGGAGTAGAGATTTGAACTCAAACGTCACCTAGAGAGCAGCACAGAAGGATACAGGTAACATTAGCACACTTTTAGAAAACACTGATAGATTTAATCAACAATGGATGTGATTATACCAATATCTTGAATGGGGTGTATTTTTAATGTCTTTCTCTTTGTTTGGTTAAATTTTTGTTGCATTTTTTTTATATCATTCATTGATTTTGTCCTTCAGTTTAGTCTGTTAATTCATCAGAGTTCTCCACAGCGGAATGAACCGCCAACTATTCCAGCATATGTTTTAAACTGGATGCCCTTCCAGCTGCAACCCAGTACTGGAAAACATGCATACACTCTCAAATTCACACACAGAAATGCTAGCTGACCCAGCCAGGACTCGATCCAGTGACCTTCTTGCTGTAAGGCAACGTGCTAACCACTGAGCCAATGTGTTGCCTCATTTCTTCTTTTATATATATATATATATATATATATATATATATATATATATATATATATATATATATATATATATATATATATATATATATATATATATATATATATATATATCAATTAACCATAAAAAAAAACAGATTCAAAAAATTTTTAGTTGAATTGAATGATCTTGTCTACTCATCTAAAAATACATCAGTCAAACCGACTTTTATATAAATAAAACTAAATAGCTAAACCATAACTAAATTGTTATTACTCTAACCAAATAAACAATAGCTAAATTATCCTAAAATCATATGTTGTCATGACATTTTGTCATTTTGATGATATCATTATCATAGCATATTACTAATTAGGCTGGCTTGTGTAGCAAGCCAGACATTTGTTATCCTATTTTTCTTCTGAGACTAAAAATTAAACTCTATCTCCTCCTAGAGCTTTCGAGCTATGACCACCAAACTAACACCAGACCTCCAAACTGGTCTGACTCGGGCTGCTATATCTTTTCCTACTGATCCGACTTTCGGTTTTACTGAAAAACGCCCCTGGACCGTCGGAAAAATCCCATAGACTTAACATTGGACCAAACTTTGTGACCTCATAACTCTGCATCAGACTGTCCTACAGACTTCTAACTGGGCTCATTTAACTCAGACTACCTAACTGCCAATAACTAATGAGCTTTTAACTTTCTGGCCACACCCTAGCAACCACTTTTGGGACCCTAGAAACTGTCCTATAGACTTACATTGCAAAAGAATCTCATTGACTTTACATTGGCTCAAACTTTGTGAGCTCATAACTCTACATCAGACTGTCGCACAGACTTCTAACTGGGCTCATTTAACTCAAACTACCAAACTACCAATAACTGATGAGCTTTCAACTTGCTAGCCACACTCTAACAACCAGATACTGCACCCTAGCAACGGTCCCATAGACTGCCATTATAGAGGTTCAGATTAATATTGTAATACTGCAGTGTGATAAAGACATGGGGGTTGTTTTTAACTGTTCATACTGGCAAGAAGCTTTGATAAATCATCAGTCTAAGCTGTCAATCAACTCCATAGCAACAAAACAGACTAACCTAGCAACGATATAACAGAAGCTATATCTCATCATCAGAACATCGTAGAGAAGCGAGGGTTGGCTTGTTTGACTCAAGCTAGCACACCATCTATCTATCCATCCATCCATCCATCTATTCATATATCTTTTCATACTTTTTTAAAACTGTTTAAACTAAATAAACTATTACCATCAGGCGTTTACAAGCCAGCCTCAAAGTTTGTCCTCAAACTTTAAGAATCTAGTTACCCTTTAGTACTATTAGATGAAGAACCATATATGATTAAAATCTGCATTCACACTGATTGCAAAATAATTTTCAGAAAAGTTCAAATGTCTTTAAAATGTGTTTGCTGCTTGTTCAAACAATTATCTAAAATAAGCTTAATCAGTACAATTCTTGAGTGTGTTTTTGGGGTGGAGCACAACTTAATTATGTTCAATCCACTTAAATTTGTAAAAACAATTTAATGTAAACTTTTTTTACAGAGTGGTAACATTTCAATGAGTATTTTATTGAGTGTCATATGAAGGGTTAACGAGTAGATTAAAAAAGTTTTTAGTTTGATATATTTTATTTAATTAAATTCAAATATTTGCTAAGTGATATTTAATGGAGCAAAGAAATTTTAACAGTAATTCCGATAATATTTTTTCTTCCGGAGAAAGTCGTTTTTAGTTTTAATTTGGCTGGAATTAAAGCAGATTTTACTTTTTTATTATTATCTAAAGGTCAATATCATATTAAGCAATATTTTAATAATAATAAACCATAATAATAAACCATTGTTAAATAATGACTTGCCTAATTACCATAACTTGCCTAGTAAACCTAGTTAAGCCTTTAAATGTCACTTTAAGCTGAATGCTAGCATCTTCACAATTATCTAGAAAAATAGACTGTCATCATGGCAAAGATAAAATAAATCGGTTATTAGAGATGAGTTATTAAATCTATTATGTTTAGAAATGTGTTTAAACTTTTTTTTCCTCCATTAAACAGAAATCAGGGACACAATATACAGTAGAGCTCATAATTCTGACTTTTTTACTCCTCTCTAAACTGATGCACAGGTTCATTCATGCTTCAGTCAAACTTTATTCTTTAATCAATGGGTCCTTTAATCTCCCAAATTCCTGTGGCCTTCCTGTGATGTCCATCGCCCTGTGTCTAATCCCGTGACATTTAGGTCACAGAGTTCCCTTCGTCACTGGGATGGTTCTCATGCCAGTCTTTCTCCCCCGGCTATTTAAGGAGAACCGGAAAGGCAAAGCGCGGATGATAAAAATAGCCCCTAATCCAGTCTGATACCTCTGCTCACTTTGAACAAGAATTATGGGATTAAACTACCAAAGAGGAGGCACAGGAGTAAAGGAAGTGACAATGTAATGAATGTACAGTAGATGCTAGATGTTTGTGTTTTTTGATCTAGGTGTGTGTTTGTTTCTGTTTCTCAGTACTTACAAAGAACTCCACATTGCAAGACTGTCCTGCAGCTCCAGGAGTGAATCGCCACAGTGTCTCGAGGTGATTGAAGAGAGAACCGTCTGTACACACCGCCTGAAACACACACACAAACTTTAGATGGGTTGCCACTGACAGCTTACTGAGACCAAACATACGCTGATATAATGATGCATGAATGTATTGAAAGTGTTAAAGGGTTAGTTCACCCAAAAATAAACATTCTGTCATCATTTACTCCAAACGTTCATTTGTCCCAAACCTGTATGAGTTTTTTCTTTATTTGAGCACTAAAGCAGATCTTTTTTTTTTTTTTTTTTAAAATACGGAAACCTGTAACCATTGACTTTCTAAGGAAGTCAATGGTTACCGGTTTTCAGCTTTCTTCAAAATATCTTCTTTTGTGCCCAACAGAAGAAGAAATCTCATTAGGGTTTGCAACCACTTGAAGCTGAGCAAATAGTGAGCCAATGTAATTTTTGGGGTAAAACATACCTTTAAATGAGTACATTACATTTAAAGAAATCAACTTTTTAATCACAAGGCATACAGTATAACCTGAGTTCAGATTTCACAAAACATTTGAGTAAACGTATTGCCTCAACATTGAGTTGATATTGTTAACTACTTAATCTTATTTTGTACGTCAACATGTTTGTGAGGAGCGGTGTGAACACAGGTGTCTCCCATTAAAGGGATAATTCACCCAAAAATGAAAACTTTCTCATAATTAACTCAAGTTGTTTGAAACATTTATGAATTTCTGTCTTTTGTTGAACACAAAACAAGATATTCTGAAAAAAAAATGTTTTGCTCTATTATAGGAACAAAAATTACATGAAAAAAATACTATGGCTGTTTTTTTTTTCAAACATTCATCATTATATATTCCTTTGTGTTTAACAGAAAAAAAAGAAAATCACCAATAGATCAAGTGGCAGATGAGTAAATGATGACTAAATTTCATTTTTGGGTGAACTATCTCTTTAAGCTCTACTCATTACAATGCCAATTTGTGCGGTTAGTTTGCATAAATGTCACACAAACTCCAATCTATGATTAAATAGTAAGTTATGATTAAGTAGTAACATTTGATATGTTGATTTAACTGTCAAAGTGACTATTTTTAATCACTTGTATGATTATAGTTTGGTCCTAAAGTTTCAAGTATTCAACAAAACTTCAAGAACAGAAACCTCATTTCATCATAACACAGAATTACAGACAATGCAAGACTCCTTATCTCTATCTTGTGCATGAACAGTATTAATAATAGTTCAAAATAGTTAAATCTATTCATTTCAGCACTTATGTTTCATACACAATCTCATGCAAAGCATGTTGGGAACTAGAAATCTGCTTTAACTCAGGCCAAGTTCACTTTAATTCAGTAAAAATGAAAGTTTGTGTAACTTTAATTCACCCCATAGTTAAAATTCTGTCATCATTTACTCAACCTTTACTTCTTTTAAACCTTTATGAGATCCTTTCTTTCAATAAATGCAAAAGAAGATGTTTTGAAGAATGCTGAAAACCTGTAAACATTGTCTTCTGTAGTATTTATTTTTCCTACTATGGAAGTCAATGGTTACTGGTGTTCATCTTTTTTAAAATATCATCTTCTTTTGTGTTATGCACTTATACGAGTTTGTAACCACTTGAGGCTGAGTAACTAGTGAGCAAACTTTAATTTGTGTGTGAACTATCCCTTTAAGTAGGCTACAGTAAACATATATGAGTGAAATTCATTAATTTCATGCAATTAATTGGACTGTTCGGTTTAAAATGTTTCTGAAGACGTTTTGCATTGACAATTTACATTGATTTGCTCTAATTCATAGTTCTTAGACTTACCCGGACTTGGTGGTTGGGGATGACTGTGACCTCAGAGGTGTATCTTTCCACAATTGGAGGGAACCCGATTTCAAGCTGAGCTCGCATGTCGCCATTTCGGCCTCTCGTGACCTTTGACTTCTTGCACCATGGCACAAACTGCTGGTACTGCTCCACATTGGCAACAACGTCATACATCTGCTCAGGTGAGTAACTGAGAAGAAAAATTAGACAAAATATTATTAAATTAAACTTAATATTGGAATGAAAGTGGTTTTATGTGATGGTAGTGTGTACATACTTAATGCTCCGGCTCTCTGAATACTCCATTCTCCTCATGATGAGGGGCGCTGTTAAATTAATGAAGCTTCGGCTGGGCACCATTTGGGAAGATGCTGAAGGAGGAGGTGGTAAACTCACACGCCGGGTTTCTAAGATGCCACAGGAGCTCAAATGTCTGAAAATGAAATATTAAAAGTTATTTACCCAACAGGAACAGAACGCCAACATGCCAGTTGAGTTCACACTTGTTGACTTCTAAAGGGCTGGCAGATTTGTTCACTACAAATACAATGTGACGCAGTGTTTTCAGAAGTTTCTGTGTTGACCAGGGTAAAATGATGTACTTTCTGGTAAACACTCAACAGCAGGCGATCGATACAGGTAAACCCGTTTCACAGCTGTATGGCGCGCTGCCAGCAAACCGCGCGCGCGCACTGGCACTGTATTCAAATGATGCACTTTTCCCTGGACAAAAAAAAAAAACTTTTTCCCTGGACATTTTTTCCTGGTCATTATTTCTTTAAAAAAATTCACATGTTTGTAAGGCAAAATTAAGTTACTAGATAAGAGATGTATGGATGTAGTATCGATAAAGCACCAAGAGTTTTGGCCGAAAACTGATACTTCTGTTCTGGTGCCCTCGGGACTCTCCGCTCTCTGCAGCTCTTTCAGTTTTTTTACCGTCCGTCTCGTGACTTTCTCACTCCAGTGCGAGTTATTTTACACCAGCTCTAGCAGCTCTTTGTCTCTGTTCAACTAAACTCACAACACAGTCCACCATTTCAGCAGGTTTTCACCATGGCAACCACTGCAAATAAACACTTTACGAGTATTTGTTTACATGATGACATGTTTTAAACCGAAAGTAGCCCGTGCAGTTCTCTGAACTACTTGCGCGTATTTATTTAATACATGTCTAATAATAAATACATTTATTTCGACGAATACATCAAGCTAATGTGTTTTTAAAGTAACAGTTTACATTCCAGTAAGTATAGCACAGGTGCGTTCGCTTTTTTACCTGATAGTGCAACTGGAGTTTCTCCTCATGACATCGAACGACTGTTTCTCCGATATCTCCATAGCCCGAAGGAAAAGCGAAGTGGCCTTCTTTGCCATTTGTGCTTGTAAAATCACCTATTAATCACTAAATAATATTCCAAAAGGCCCCGGGTGATGATAGTTGTTCGTGCGTGTAATAACCGGTGTCTCAGCTGGTAGTGAGCTGATACCGGAGAAGTGCTTTACTATTAAAGCGCAGATGTGAGCAGTGACGCACCGAGAGGGAGGAGCTGAAAACCGGCAGCCACGCCACAGGTACAGATGCGCTCTCAGAGTTATTCACCCTTAGGGGGTTGGCGAGACATTGACTGCCTAAAATATGCGCTCCGGGGAAGTGGTTCTTGACCTCTTTTTGTTTTTAAAAGCCCTCCTGCATTCTTCCCCACCTCCAGTTGTTCATTACAAAGGCCACTTGACTTATTTTAAATATTTGTAGTTTACTGAATGACGCAACATTACGTGTAATGAATTTCAAAAGACTATTTTTACATGCAATGTCAGCATTTTAGAGCTTAACATACGATTGAAGTCAAACTTATTAGACCTGTGAATTTCTTTAACTATTATTTCTCAAATGATGACACAGCAAGGAATTGTTCACAGTCTAATTTGTTTTATTTCGGCTAGATTAAAAGCAGTGTTTTTAATTTTAAAAAAGGTCAATATGATTAGTCCCCTTAAGCAATGTTTTTTCAACTGTCTACAGAACATCATTATACAATGACTTGTTAAGCATTTAAATTGCACTTAAGCTGAATACTATAGCATCTTGAAAATATCTAGTAAAATACTATGTACTGTCATCATGACAATATTAAAAGAAATCCGTTATTAGAAATAAGTTATTAAATCTATTATGTTTAGAAATGTGTACTTCTTTCCGTTAAACATAACTTGCGTATTATTAAGACGTCAGGGCTCAACAATAAGGACTGCCCGATGGCCCGGGGCCAGTGTGAGAGATGCTTGGGACATAAAGTTATTAAGGTATTACTTTTTATTTCATATCTTAAGGTTTTAGTTATGGTACTCCCAAAATAACTCCGCATAAATCTGTAGATTTTTAACAAAATTCTGCGCAGAAATAGCAAAAAATGTCCGCAGATTCTGTCTGGTCCTACTTAATAGTGTGATTAGAATTGCAGTATAGATTTTCTGTCTACTAAATAAACCTAGCATTGTTTTTCAAAACCAACAAATATAAATGAAGCCATTTTGAATAATGATACAAATGATATCTAATGATCTCTCTTAAAAAAGTAATATATTTGTTTCATTTTGTTTTAACTACACTTTTTTGACTGTCTCTACCCCCTAAATCATAAATTCGGCTATTCAGTTATGAAAAACTTTTCATACAAAACAATTAGACATTTATACAATTATACATATATTGTGACACCTGTTATAGCCCTACTGGAATTCATTGCTACCTAAATTACCAACATGTTAACAAGTATCAGTAAATTAACAGCTATGAAAAACAATCTGAGCTCGCAATTTACTCTACACTGAGTGAAGCCTGCAGCCGCTGCTCTTTTGAGTCACTTTTTAAAATTGCTAAAAGCAGCCAAATGTATGTTAAAAATTGCTAAATTTGTTGCTTGGTGCTTTTTGAAAAAAAAAAGTTGCTAGGGTAGTATGAAAAATTGCTAAATCTAGCAGTAAAATTGCTAAGTTGGCATCACTGCTTTGAAATGTGCATTTTAATTCGATCTTTGAAGTAATCTTAACCGAAACACCAAGAAAAAGTTGGACATAGTGTAGCTCCTCCCCCCTTTTTAAGCAGCTAATAGCATTTTGTTTTCATCACAGCTCTGCCAGTGAGAGTGGTTGAAGGGGGCGGGCATGTCAGATTCTAGAGAGCATTTGATTGGTCACAATTTGCTAAAACTTAAGTTTGAGTTGAGTAAAACTGTTAATTAATTTAGTTTGCGGAAGTGACAAACTACAAGATTTACATGTTTATATCAGTTTTTATATCTTCCAAACGTTGTGACATATACCTTTTTGGTGCTTCCTTTGGTTACTCTACTATGTAACCATAGCTTTCTGCCACAAGTAAATGTCATCAGGTGGTTCCCAACCTTCCCTGAGTGTTTAGACCCTAACCACAACACTCTCCAGGTGGTGGGTCGGCAGTGGTGGCCAGGCCATTGGCCATCTACTAATGGCTTCCAGCTTTCCTCCTCTCTGTTACTCCATAGCCAGCATGAAGCTCGTTCTGCTTCTCCCATATGTGAGCAGCATGTTTCTTGCTCTTCTTTTCCATGCCTAAAGCTGACATCAGTCGATATACTGTATTTGCACCAAAGCCTCTACAACCTACCTCCACAGCCATGCCTGCCAACCTTTGTTTTTACACTCCTGGATTAGTGGCATGTACTTTAAGGCCTTCCTCTCATGAGCCTCTTCCCAACCCTCCTTCCATGGCACAGTCATCTCTATTAAAATCATTTTATGGTCTTTGTCTGACCAAAAGACCAAATGTTGTCACTGTTTTGGTGTGCACTACCTTATAGATATCCTAAAAAACTAACAATACTGATACTAATATCTAATAAACCTTTATTTTAATTTCATGGGACCTGTAAGTAGTAGTACTCAGTAGAGGATCCAGTGCAATTATCCCTTTTTGTGTGTGTTATTTATGTTTTGCAGAGAATTTTATACATTGTCATAGACCAGAGGCATCAACGTCAAGGAATCTATTCAAATGCTAAAGGTCTGTGGGAGAGGAGTCGTGTACTTCTGTCTGTGCCTGACCCGACATGTCATTAACCCATAAAGAGGAACAGGAATAATCCAGATAAGGCAGAGTCAGTAAGTCAGCACAGCGGACGTCCCTTTCAATTAAGGTATAGCGTCACAAGCGAGCTCAAATATTAACTTTTCATTCAGTACATGATTGCAAAACGCAACCTACTTCTCTTGTGTAACTAACTAGAGCGTGAGCGTTGATGCAGGAAATGCGCAGTCAGATCAGAGTTCAGGTGAGTTGGCGCTGCGGTACACATGGCAAACACAGATGTAAGGTCAATGAGACACCTGTACTTTATACCATCAGCCTAGTGGCGAGAGGAAAACAGTGATGTTGGCACTGATTTCTTTACATATTTGATTATTGTGAATATTTGGGTATGATCGGTGCATGAAGCTACACATTCGGCCTAATTAATAATGCATTTAAATTAGCAGTTTTCCATATTCATGTTTATTCAATGTTTATTTATGCTTTTGAATTGCATTATAGGACCTTGATCTTTCTTCTAACAACGTTTAACATTAGAAAGTTGGAAAAAGTGACTTTCATGAAGATTTTTAATAGATTAAAGTGATGTATTGTATGGGTTAGTGTTACAACCTCCTGGCTCAAGAAAGTAGTAACATAACCAAATAAAGATCCAAACCAGAAAATCAAATCAACTTAAATATATTTAATCAAAAATTAAGTGAAATGATACATGAATATAAATAAAAGAAAACAAAAAAAACTCCAAAACTGAAGAGGGAAGGATGAACACCCGCAGTCCTGTACTCTCGGTTTTTATCCAAACGCACATCACAGGTAACACTCCACACCTGGTCCAAACATCAATCACGGCAAAACACCGCACCTGTTCAAAACTCCAAAATACCAGATCATGGAACACCTCCATCTAGTGAACACTGGTTAACAAAACCTTACGACCGTCACAGTTAGTGTTGTAGTTCTGAAGGCAAAAGCGGGTCCAACCCCATACTAGTAAGATGTACCTAATAAAGTGGCCTGTGAGTGTTTATATACATTTTTGTATACATTATATTATTTCAAACGGCTAAAATGTCAATAAAAGTCAATTTGTTAAACTGTAGAGTTGAATTTTCTACATCAAAAGTCGACGGAGCAGAGATTAAGGTCCCATAATGCAATTCACAACCATAAATAAAGGTGAAACACAACATATGGAAACTGGTAATTAACAGATATTTGTTACAACGTGGGTCTTAGCAGATGTATACACTTATCTTTGTGAATGCTGCAGTTATTTTAAAAATAAAAGCAGCAGCTATGATTATGATGATGATGATGATCATAATAATAGAATTTTTAGTTAATGACACATGGATATTTTCTGAACTGTTAACAGTCATGATTAGAATTTTAAATAAAACATAATTCATTCATTTCTTCATTCACTGTGGGTCGCCACAGCGGAATGAACTGCCAACTTGTCCACCACGTTTTTACGCAGCGGATGCCCTTCCAGCCGCAACCCATTTTTGGGAAACATCAATACACACTCATTCACACTCGTACACTACGGACAATTTAGCCTACCCAATTCACGTGCACCACATGTCTTTGGACTGTGGGGGAAACCAGAGCACCCAGAGGAAACCCACGTGAACGCAGGAAGAACATGCAAACTCCACACAGAAACGCCAGCTGAGCCAGCCGAGGTTCAAACCAGCAACCTTCTTGCTGTGAGGAGACAGCACTACCTACTGCGCCACTACATCGCCTTTAATAAAACTTAAATTAGTTTAAAAAAATAAATAATGGGTATTAATTAACTATTAATAATGGTATACATGTGCAAATATCACCATAAAAAGAACATCAAGTCATGCATCTCACTTTTGTGAATGGAAAAACTGGATTAAATTGTATATAATAACCATAGACTTTAAAAAATACAATAATACCACAAAAATGTATTTACACAAAATATGTTTCACTTTAAAAAAGAACAAAAAATAATTTGTTGGCTCTATTTAAAAAATAAATGGTGTTGACTAATGTTTATTTATCTGCTAATAATATTAATTAAGGAGCGTTTATGAGGTGAAGATCTGACACCAGTCTACTGCTCAAATTCTCGAGATCATTTGTAGTTTAGGTCCCACTTTATATTAGGTGGCCTCAATAAATACGATGTATTTACATTTTACTTAACCATATACTACAATGCACTTATTAAGTATGTACAGGTTTTTCCATTGAACTAATATTTAAAAAATGATCTACTAGTAATTACATCTAATTTATTTCTCTAATTGCATTTATGATTACGCTGTTGACCCACCCCTTACCTTAACACAACCTTACTCAAGACATGTCCCTAACCATACCCATATCTCACTTCAAGAGAAACAGAAGTGTTGTGCAATACAATATGAACACAATAAGTACATTGCACTTATTTTCTGATGTAAATACATAGTAATTAAGGCCATTCAGTATATAATAGGATCAAAATTTATAAGTGTTAAGTCTAGAAGAGAGTCATACACATGTGTTTTGAGTGTACATTTGTTTACACTTCAAAAAATCAACTTGGAACCAATTTAGGATCGTTTATACACAAATGTTTACAAAAACGCATGGTTTTTGCACTTATCATTTGAATGCATTTTTTTACATTAAACAATAACTTTCTAAAACCCAATATCTACAGATTTTTGACCAACGTGTTTAAAAAAAACTTGCATATACAGGTGAAGTCAGAATTATTAGCCCCCTTAATTTTTCTTCTTCTTTTTTAAATATTTTCCAAATTATGTTTGAAAGAGCAAGGAATTTTTTACAGTATGTCTGATAATATTTTTTCTTCACGAAAAAGTCTTATTTGTTTTATTTCAGCTAGAATAAAAGCATTTTTTTATTTTTTAAACACAATTTTAGGGACAAAATTATTTGCCCCTTTAAGCTAAATTTTTTTTCGATAGTCTACAGAACAAACCACTGTTATACAATAACTTGCCTAATTACCCTAACCTGCGTAGTTAACCTAATTAACCTAGTTAAGCCTTTAAATGTCCCTTTAAGCTGTATAGAAGTGTCTTGAAAAATATCTAGTCAAATATTATTTACTGTCATCATGGCAAAGATAAAAAAAATCCATTATGAGAAATGTGTTACTAAAACTATTATGTTTAGAAATTATTTGAAAAAAAAACTTCTCTCTGTTAAACAGAAATTGGGGGAAAAATAAACAGAGGGGCTAATAATTGAGGGGGGCTAATAATTCTGACTTCAACTGTATAGGAATGGTATAACAGAAAATGTTAGTGGTTTCCAAACTGCTATAAACCTTGAAACCAGTTATCATCCCATGCCTACATTGTTATCAATTTCCTGTAGAATCTACAGTAACTTACTTACTTACTTACTACTTACTTACTTACTGGCCGCGGTTCGCCAGTAACTTACTTTAAATCAATTACCGCAAAAATACTGTATTTACATTTACAGCTCCATTTATCTTGCTGTATGTGTGTTTACAGATTTGATTGAATATTTTCTATAAAAGTTCACAATGTAAATTTAAAATACAGTAATATACTGCATAGCTGTCAAACAGTAAAATAAAGTTCATTTTACAGTTAAATACTGTGTAATTTACAGTGTATATTTGTTTTTACACCGCTATACAGTTGAAGTCAGAATTATTAGCCCCCCTAAATTATTAGCCCTCCTGTTTATTTTTTCCCCCCAATTTCTGTTTAACAGAGAGAAGTTTTTAAAACACTTTTCTAAACATAATAGTTTTAATAACTCATTTCTAATACCTGATTTATTTTATCTTTGCCATGATGACAGTAAATAATATTTGACTAGATATTATTCAAGACACTTCTATACAGCTTAAAGTCACATTTAAAGACTTAACTAGGTTATTTAAGTTAACCAGGAAGGTTAGGGTAATTAGGCAAGGTATTGTATAACAATAGTTTGTTTTGTAGGCTATCGGAAAAAAAAAATAGCTAAAGAGGCTAATAATTTTGACCTTAAAATGTTTTTTTTTTAATTAAAAGCTGCTTTTATTCTTGCCGAAATAAAACAAATAAGACTTTTTTCCAGCAAATATTTCCTTGCTCTGTTAAACATCATTTGGGAAATATTTTTAAAAAATAAGAAAAAAATCAAAGGAGAGCTAATCATTTGTCTTATTTTCTTACAATTCAAAGAAGGTGTGTTTCAGTTTAATGAAAATTAATTTATTATTCAGGTCCAAACCTATGAACTAGTCCCACATGCATTTAACTGGCTGATCTTTGCATTAAGTGGCTTAGGTTGGTTATGTGACTCTCTCACCAAAAACTGATCTAATCCTTTACTACAGTTCCTAAGCGAGAGTCAGGACACACGCACATTAGTACGTCACTGTATGTGTGTGTTTGTGTGTGTGTGTGTGATTGCACCTTATCATTGAACAATCTCAGCCTCCTTCTGGGAACTGAACTGTGATATAACATTACAACTTGATTATTTTTTATGTGATGTACACTATAAGACAAGGCTTTCACAACTGGCTTAGCAGCTATTCCTTGTGTTCTATATAAGCTGTAGGTCTACAGTATAAATACCAGAACGAAGGTGTGAGGGATTTGTGAACTTGTGATCAGTGTCCTTGAATGAAATGCTTGCAAAACAGAGAAATACAATGACCTTGAGCAGGCTTGGTGGGATCTGTCCTTACTGTTCTCTGATTCTAGTAAACAGCTGAGGAAAAATATGTGACACACTGATGGTGGTTTTTTAGCGAAAGGGACAGACAGTCCTTGAGATGAAATCCTGTTCAAAGTTCAGCAATGAGGGAGAACACCGATCAGTAGACAAAACACCCAAAAACTTTATTTCATTTTCTGTTACATAAGTAAATATGGATTCTTATACAAGGTCCCAAAAGTATGAAATCACAATTAAGGCACGAAAAAAGAGTTAAAAGGATAGTTCACCTAAATTGAAAGTTTGGTTATCATTTACATACCCTTCACTTGTTTCAAACCTGTTTGATTTTCTTTTTTTTTTTTGTTGTTGGACACAAAAGAAGATATATTGAAGAATGCTCGAAACTTGTAAATATTAACTTTTAAAGTATTTGTTTTTCCTACTATGGAAGTACAGGTTCCACATATCTTCTTTAGTGTTCAGCAAAATAAAAGAACTGAAATGTTTGGAAATGCTTGTAAATAGGAAGTATATTTGCATTTTTGGGTCAACTGTCCCTTTAATTCCCTTAAAAGTCATTGTATTAAATGTAGCATGCTCTAAAAGTACCTTCATTCACATTTTTGTGTCAAGTACAAATATTTGAACATTCTTTAATCAAGATCATCAACTTTTCTGATTGAAGACCATCTCAATTTTCTGAGCCCATTGGTATTTGATATTTGCCTTAAATTACAAATGCATTTAATATAATGCACTTAATATAAAATAATAATAATACATAACAATACATAATAAAATAAAATAATAAAAGTGTAATACAGCTTTAAACTCTTTAAACTTTTTTGTACATAAAAAATCCTGAAAAATCCCAAATAAATTGATCAAAAACAAGTTGTTTTATTGTGTGTTATTTTGGTTCTGATACAAATGCATCTTGTTTAGGAATCTTTTGCAATGAAAGAAATGAAGAAAAAATTGAAAAACAGCACTTTATTTTTTACATTGTGAAAAGAAAGTATAGTAAAATCTCCATATTATATCAATTGGGAGTCAGCGTTGCAATATCATCCTGAATGTTAAACATCTTGTTATAAAATGTACAATATGTTTTTTTTATCAGGAGGAGCTTTAAAGGAATATTTTTAAATGGAATTTCTATACATCAGGGGTGTCCAAACTCAGTCCTGGAGGGTTGGTGTCCTGCAGATTTTAGCTCCAACTTGCCTCGATAGGATTGCCTCATGGTGAAAGCCTAGTAAGAGTTTGATTAGCTTGCCTAGGTGGGTCTGATTGGGGTTGGAGCTAAACTTTGCAGGACACCGGCACTCCAGTTTGGACATGCTTTACATATTTAGAATTTTTAATCAAAAATGTAAAGTTTCAGATTTTCTCATGTATTATATATTGTTGTTAATGTGTATGTTTAATGTTAGAAACATATATATTATAGAAAGTAAATGTGTACCTTATGTGTTATAGAAGAGTTTTTGCCATGAGAGCTGATATGCACTGAATTATTATTTTTTTATTAGATTTACTAAATTGTTTTAAAGGGCATCTATGGTGAAAAATCTACTTTTCAAGCTTTTTGGACAGATTTATGTGTAGGTATAGTGTATAGACTGTTATATTGGGGTGATATAAACATCCTTTTTTTTTCAATTTAACAACATAAAAACGGTGGACCAGTTGGAGCGGTTTTCAGACCGACCACATTTTGAAATAGGAGTGCGGTCCCCCTGCCCACCGAATTGATTGACAGCTACTTATTAACAGGTCTCTGTAGTAACGCGTATAATCATATCAACAAGACGTGAGATCTTCTTCCTTTATGTCTGTTTTCTCGGTCAGTCGAGGGAGGAGATTAAGGCACGCTGAAAGGTACGTGGAAATGGTGGGTTCATGCCTTAAAGGTGCAGTTAAAAAAAAGGCTGGTGCTAAGAGGTATAAAATAGAAACTTATTAAAGGTATAATAAAAAATCTGATGGGTGTTTTGAGCTGAAACTTTACAGACACATTCTGGAGACACAAAATACTTTGTGCACTTTAACATAAGTGGTTGTAAAAATTTATATGGTTTGTATCTATTTTAAACAAAGTAATTAAGTTGAACATTACTCAATTTCATTTGTTTGTTTAAATTCAGCCCATATAAAATGTTTGCAACCACTTACCTTAGAAACATTTTGAAATTTTCAATGAATCATTTTTTTTCAGTGTCACAATACACTCAGAAATCTCTCGTTTTATGTTTCATGACTCTTGCTGCCTTAAATTCATTCAAAATATCTTAATTTGAGTTTTAATGATAAACAAAGCTCCTACAGATTTCTTATGATATGGTAAATAATGACAGGTTTTTGGTAAATGATCTCTTTAATTAAATCCTCATACCTTCATAAAACTAGCAATTTTAGAACTTTACTTCACAACTACAATGCTTAAATCTATACATTTACTGTTTTCCATACCTCAGGTTTTCCAAAAAAGAATGAAACTCTGTGTTGGCATCATTTCTGTGCATCTGTACCGGGAGAAGAGAAGATGAGTTTGCTCATTGCTCTGATGTACTGAGAGCCGTCCATGGAGGTGAGTTTCAGGCTGCTCATGGGTAACAACGCTCTGTTGGTGTAATATCTGAGGAATGGAGTCTGCGCTTCCATCGCCTCCAGATACACCTGAAAATAGAGACAAGAGTGGGACAGAACATGTAACAAAATATCATGGATGTATATTTAGTGTATGAGATTGTGGGAACAATAAGTGTTTGTGTAACATGTTTGGATGTAGAGTTAGATATTAGTTTAGCATGTTTGAGGATGATGCATTACATTATTCAATTCAAGTTTATTTGTATAAAAAGGTGCACATTATTGCATTACAATCAAATTCAGGATTGTTAAGGTCATTAGTTACCACTTTATTAGATACTAAACTTAATTTAACTACTAACTAATAGCTTTTAACAGTTAAGTTGTTATATATAAACATTGTTAACCTGCGGTTGTATAGTGTATAGGTGATGTCTATGTGTACATGTTCAGTGAAGTGTATTTGTAGATTGAATGTGTCCTCAAATCCCTCATTAGTAGCATTAGCTTTTAGTATAAGAGAGTACAGATATTTTCCAGGAATATGAAAAATCACCTCAAAATCCTCCAAAATAAAAGTTGGTTACTTGTCAATGTGTGTATACTCACTGTAGTATTATTTATAAAAACACACACACACACACATACACTCACCGGCCACTTTATTAGGTACATCTTACTAGTACCGGGTTGGACCCCCTTTTAGCATTCACAACTGCCTTAATCCTTCGTGGTAACAAGGTACTGGAAATATTACTCAGAGATTTTGGTCCATATTGACATGATTGCATCCCGCAGTTGCTGCAGATTTGTCGGCTGTACATCCATGATGCGAATCTCCCTTTCCACCACATCCTAAAGTTGCTCTATTGGATTGATATCTGGTGACCATGTCTATGTGCCTAAATGCATTGAGTTGCAGCCATGTGATTGGCTGATAAGAAATTTGCGTTAACAAGCAGTTGGACAGGTGTACCTAATAAAGTGACCGGTGAGTGTATTTATCAAATATACACACCATGTATGTATATATATATATATATATATATATATATATATATATATATATATATATATATATAAATACAACATAAAACTGCACAGTTTTTATGTATATAAAATACAAAGTTTTAATTTGGATAATTTACACAATTAATTCTTTGACATCATTAAGTCTCACAAATGTGTGTAAATACTAGTGCAAGTCAAAGCTATTTAACATCCTTCAAAGTATCTTCTTTTCTGAGGAAAGAATCTAAAAAGGCTTTAGAGCAAATGGAGGATGAGCAAATTGACACATTTCATTTTGGGGTGAACTACCCCTTTAAGAAACAAATTTAGGAATCATCATTAAATGTACAGTTGTAATACAATTCAGTTCAGGGATAGTATTTTATTATTTTAATACTAAGCAAATTAAGTATGTTAATTTAATATTAATATGAACTGCAAATTTGCTTTTACTTCAGACTATTTTTTCCTTTTTGTACTTTTATTGAATTGTCAAGTGAAGTTAACTTAATAAAGTTCAGTTTGATTTATAATTAAAGCACTTTAAAACAACATAGTTGACCAAAGTGCTCACAATAAAGGGACAAATGAAGAGTTCACATGCAAAGCCTCATATCTCAGACACCTGAGTATAGTCTTAAAAGCTATCAATTAGCTTTACTTAAAAAAAAAAAAGTAAACCCATTGCTTTTAAAGTGATTAGTTGACTATACATAAAGTGAGTAAATCCATTGCCTTAAAATGATTAAGTAAATGAATTAAGTGCACAATTCTAAAAATGAAGTCATATATTAATAAAATGTCTCATGCTGTGCTAAATGCCAAATTTCTCTCTCTGCAAGTGGCACCTGAATGATGTCTTCAGTGTCCTGCGCAGCGTTCTGGAACACAGACTGGCAGTGCTGCAGGTATTGGTCATACAGGCTGCGTGTGTGTGCGTCCACCTCCAGCACCTTGTCTCCAGGCTCTGTCCTCTTCAGGTTCATCAGGAAGTCAGTGTTGACCGGGCCACATTCAATCAGGCTTATACTGCGACAGGCATGTCATGATTAGTGTATGAGTGCTTTTCATAGGCAATAATAGCACTGTGCACAGAATCACTGATTAAGTACTCACTGAATGTTGAAGTGCTGGAGCAGAATAGCCAGGCTCTCACAAGCGCCCTCTATTGCAAATTTACTAGCACAGTAGACCTCGTTGAATGGCAAACCTGAGATCCACATTGAATAACTTTTTTGAAGTAATTTAAGTTTAAAAAATGTCATTGCAATTACTAATTACATCATTAACTTGGTCTGAAAAGTAACTTGATTAGTAAATAAGTAGTTGAATTATTGATTCAGTACTAAAGATCCATATAAATCTGAACAGACAGACAACAAAAAATAATCTTAATTCTTTTTAATACTCATTTTATTATACACACGTTTGTGAATTGTGGGGACATTACATAGGTTTACATTGTTTATATACTGTAGAAACTGTATTTTCTTTTGTCCTAAACAGGAAACTGTGTACAGTTTTACTTTGTTTGATTTATAAGCTTTTTGAGAAATCAGTAAATCAGTAATGTCCTCATATTTCAACACCTTCTTGTGATACCTGTCATACCTATGTCATACTGATTGTGTCCTTATATGTTTAAAAAAATGCACACACACACACACTTCTCTGAATGTATACCTATTATTGTCAAGAACAAATTTCTCACTCAGTTATTTTTCTTAATCTTTAGCATGTTCGGTCAACTTGATATATTTTCACTCTAACAAATACAAACAAATACAGTTTCTCGGCTTCTCCTAATTGATTTATACAGAATTATTGAATTCATTTACATTATTTACATTACTTGCATCATTATAAGTATCTGTAATTAAATTATTTTTAAAATAAAGGTAATCCCTTTACTTTTTCAGCAGAAATAATATTAAATTACAGTAACTACACTGTAAAACCCAACAGTCAACTTCATCAAATGAAATGAGTGTAGTTAACTCCAAATTTACTGAAAGTTACTTTTACTCATTTGAAAAGAGTTTTGAACTCAGTGTTGGTTTTGAACTCAAATGGTTAGCAGTCGGTTAACTCAAACGGTTTGAGTTGCCTTAACTTATTGGGTTTTACAGTACTCAGTTGATTTAAGTTCTCTTCATTAAATAGGTATTACTGTGCTCTAATTGCTTCGTTTACTCAGATGGCTTAAGTTCATGGTTCTCATTAGGATCAGTTTTTGAACATAAATGGTTTGTTGCGATCGACTTCCTCAAATGGTTTGAGTTACCTTAACTTATTAGGTT